TTCTGATAAATAATTCATCATCTTCCCATTGCTTCCTGGGCTCGTTGGAAGGAAATGTCAGGGGACTGACTGTCAGGCCCAACAGTGGTAAGAGTTTCACGATTTTCCTAAACTCTTGACTTGGAGTGATGCGACTGAGCTGTGGAGTGAGGGCGCTGGCTTTCTTCCTAGTCTTCAGCACAGTGAAACGCGACACCCCGCATTCCGCGTTGGCTTTCTTGGTGCGTGAGAAACTCTAAAAGGAAGAAATTAAGGGAGAAGCGCTGAGGAATCCCATGATCTGACAGCCGCCCGGTGAGAGAGTAACAGTTCCTTCAGGGACATGGTCCATGTCAGAGTATAAATGAGCGTGGCCTTAATAAGCAGCCATTGTCTGTAGATCACCTTCTACGTACTACACTCAGCATCTTTAGGGATTGCTTTTATTTATAAGTGACTATAAATTGGGACAGTTTTATGTTTATTTTTCATATTAGAAACGGAAGCTCAGGGGATGGAACTCAGGCGGCCTTTCTCCCAGCTGGGGTTCTCTTCACTGCACACAGTGGCACCTTTAAGGTGTTGAGCACCAACCTGTGGGCTACATGACTCAGTGGAAAGATCGGAGTGGGGAGAGGGAAACCCGGACTCTGGCTCTGTGAGCGCAGCAGCAGGTTCTGGAAAATGTGCCAAGTGCCTTAAACCTTTGAGTCCCTCCTTTCTTTTCCTATTGAGGAAATTACATTTGTTACATCCATCTCTTCAGGCTTTTATGAGGATAAAATGAGATAATAACTGGGAAAGTGCCTTGCACACTTGAGTGATGTACAAATAAAGGGCTCACGTTATTAGATTTTTAGTAACATGGAGCTATTTTTTTTCACGGGGCCCATGTTGTCTTCTGATTGAATTTAAAACCCTTGGCTGATGTTTCGAGTCCCTTGCTAGTTCTGGCATTGGATTCTCTGGCTGTGAGGAAGCTGTCCCCCAACGGTGGTTTTAGGACAGGGTTGAAATGATGCATGTTGGCCCGCCCCTTTCTTCCTTTTGAAAACTGTGGATGCAAGAAATGGCCTCCTGTCATCAAACAAGTGATCAATGTGTATTTTACCTATTCAGTGGCGACTATGTCTCCAGTCCTATTTGTGATTCTGAGGGCCCTGGGATTCAATCTTGGATGTGTGACAGAGCTGGGGAGACAGGAATGCACACAGTCCTGAGGCTGTGTCGTGGCTCGCGTGCCATGTGTGGCTCATACTGTTGACGTGAGACCAGCTGGGGAGGCCTCGTGGAGGAGGACCTGAGGGTTTGAACTGGGGCCTGGGGTCTGACTGGGGTGCAGGAGGTGGGCACGGACACGGGGAGAAGTACAGGTATGAGAAAATTGACTGCGCTGACCTGTGCAGATTTCGGGAGGTCTAGAACACTGCCCAGCAGTTGGGAGAGAGCCCAGCTGTGTGTGTGTGTGTGTGTTGAGCCATGTGAGAAAGGACCGAGAGAGCCAGGTCTGAGTGTTGTGAACGATGGAAAGTTCTACGGTGAGGGCGCAGCAGTGAGACAAGGGGTGGAGGCAGAGGAAGACGGGAGCAGGAGGCTGGAGGCCCTGTGAAGGTATCTAGGTGACAAGAAGCGGAGGGGGTCCCGTGGGCCGATGTCCTTGGGACAGATCACAGAGACACGGGACAGAGGGACTCACGGAGGAAGAAGGGGACGGAAAGGAAGCCAATTCCAAGGTCTGGACCGCGTGGTTCCAGGATTTTGCCTGCCAGGCCCGGGTTCCTGGCACTTCCGCAGGGGCGGGGCTGGGGTTCCCGGCACTTCCGCAGGGCGGGACCCGGGGTCTCAGCACTTCTGAGGGCCGCCAGTGGTTCCCAGAGCAGAGGCAGCTCCTTTCCAGTGCTCTGAAGTTATTCCAAGTTCACTCATGAATATTTAATCTTTCGCCAACTTACTGGTCTTGAGCATCTGCATTATGGATGTGGCAAGATGTCAGATGAGTTTTGTCACCACCGTGTTAGAGGTTTTCATGGCTCTCAAGGCTGATTCCGTGTCCGTCCCGTGACATCCAGATCACGCACCGCTCACCCGTTTTATCCACTGGGATTTATCGGTGCCTGCTGTGGGGGACACCAGGTTAGGTGCCAGGGGCGGAGGGGGGTTAACAGGCAGTGAGGACCAGAGCTCTGCCTGCAGGGAGTCCCCCAGGCACGGACCTCTGCGAGCAGAGTCGCACACGTCGTGGCACCCTGCAGGCCGCTGTCACGTGCAGTGACTCTTCTCTGAGGAGGGGAGCCTGGGTGCCCTGCCGCAGTGAGTGTGCTGAACCCCAGGTGAGGGGTGCAGTTGCCCACAAGACTGCTGACCCCAGCCACAAGTTTGGGGGTCCCCGGGACCACCCTCACTCTAACCAGCTAGCTCCAAATCCGGGGGACCCCAAGGGCTCTCTCCACTTCCATAATTTACTAGAATGACTCACAGAACTCAGGAAAGTGCTATACTATGATTACCATCTTCTATGAAAAGTGTACGAGTCAGAACCAGACAAAGGGAGAGATGCAGGGGCCAAGTCGAGTTGGGAGGGTCCGAGGTGTGGACCTTTTGTCACCCTCTTCCCCCTGGGGGGTCCCAGACGCCCTTGCATTTTTGGGGCTGTCATGTGTGGCAGGACCGGAGTATTTCCAACCAGGGACGCTAATCTCAGCCTTCGGTGTCCAGAGGTTTTAGGGGGGCTCAGTGACCCACTGTCTGTGTGGCTGGCCGCCAGGCCTGGGCTCCTCCTGTCGGTTCGGATGAAGACCTGTTTCCGGTTCCACCGGAGGTCAGAGCCAGTATGACTTGTCGCAGGGCCCGTCATAAATCACTTTGTTAGACCAGGCAGACAGGCACCCGTGTCGGGCAGGACCTTCCGGGGGCCTGGAGGGCACCCCCAGGAGCCCAGGGCAGAGGCCAGACGTCTTCACATAGCTGCGTCCTCACAGAGCATTTCAGAGGGGGGACATCAGGCTGTCCGCACGGCGGGTGCAGAGTCCCTCTTCGCGGCTAGGCCAGCACCACAGGCGTCCGTAGGTGTCCCGCAACGTTTCCGCCACTCAGCCGACGAGACACGCGGTGTGTGTGTCATGGCCTCTTCGCCACGCCTCCTCTGCCGTTCCTTGCCGCTTCAGTAACTTGCACGAGGTCGTGCTGCGGTGACAAAAAGCAAGGAGAACAGTTTTCATGACTGTGAGGTAAACGGTGTGTCCCCACTGCACACAGTCCTTCCCTCGCCTCCCCTCCGGCCTCCCGCACACATCCCCTGGGCCTTGTGTCTACACAGCTGTTTTCCTCAGTAAACCCGTACGGGTGATGGGATTGAAGTGTCTTGTGCCCTCTTTTGTTTCATCTGGTCTCTTTGCCTTCCTGTCATTAAGTGCTTTTCCCTCCGCCACTACCCCTAGCCCCCGTCTCCAATGCGCCCCCGATGGTGGGAAGGCAGTGACTGTGCACACTGCAGCCGTGGCTCTGTGTGGCTCTTGTCTGTTCTCATCCGGCCTGGCCCTGTGGCTCCACAGAAGCTCTGCCCCTGCAAGGCACCCCCCCCCCCCCGCCCCAGGTCTGCCCCCACTCCAGTGCGCCATCTCCCTGAGTTCTTGGGGACCTTGCGCATCCAAGCAGGCTCCTTTGTCCAGATGCAATGTTATCAAGTTGCTTGTTCCCTGCGGACTCTGCTCCAGAACTGTCCTGCCTTCCTCTCCCCCATGGTTTCCCTGTCGGATCTGGGAGCACAACAACCCACTTAGCAGGTCCTTATGGGAGTAGCCATGGGCAGCATGGGTGATGCTTTCCTATGCAGGGACGGGCCCTGAAGGTACTACCCTCCGTACATCACCATGTTCCCCGGGGGGTGGTGCTGCAGCCTAGGGCCCCTCTGCTCTTCTGCCGCTCAGCTTCAGAGGAAAGGACGGCCAGAGGTGCTGTACTGAGGCAGGCACCTGTCATGCGGGGTCCCCCGCCTGTGCTGGCTTTCTGCGTGGCATCGCTCAGGGTACCTGAGACCACGCTGCCCCGCCTTCACATGAGCAGCAGCAGGATGCTCCCCGACCCCACTCGCCCGTCCTACTTCCTGCCTTCCTGCTGGAGATGAATGCCTTAGAAATGCGTGCTCATTAAGAAGAAAGACAAGTTGAAAAATGGTGTGAAGCTTGCTCCAGAGAAGCTCCGAGCCTGCTCTCCAACTCACCAGGTCGCTAGGAAACTTGAGAAATGTTGCTATTGTCTTTAGTCCTGTAATTGGTAGATTTAGATTGTAATTATTTTTTCTCTGTTTTGTCAGAACAATTTGGCTGTAATAATTATGATGTCTTGAAATAATCTGAATAGTTGCGCAGCTCGTTATGAGCGTGAGAAGCAGAGCGGCCTTTGAGAATCCTTTGCAAAGAAGTTCCTAAGCACTGTCTGAGAACTGGGTGTAAAGGGAGCTGCTGGCTCACTCGGAGTCTGATTTGCGAACCGGGCAGCTGCCGGTCACCTGTCAAAATCATCCCCACTTTACGAAAGAAGCACATGCAAAGCACATGCTTTGATCACATCGTATTTTTAATTTTTTTTTTTTATGTTTTATTTCTGAGAGACAGAGAGAGACAGCATGAGCAGGGGAGGGGCAGAGAGAGAGGGAGACATAGAATCTGAAACAGGCTCCAGGCTCTGAGCTGTCAGCACAGAGCCCGATGTGAGGCTCGAACCCACGAACCACGAGATCATGACCTGAGCCGAAGTCGGACACTTAACTGACTGAGCCACCCAGGTGCCCCCCATTGTATTTTTAAAGGGGAGTATTAGAAAATCGATTCTGTGTTAGCATGTGGATGCAAAAGTAGGAGCACTAAAGGTACTGTCTGCAGCTGTTAATTTTTGGAACCACTTCAGACTTTCTGTTTTTAATAAAACCTGAAACTGAGCACATTCCCACATTTGGAAGTCGAACGTGTGCCCTGCACTGTCACCTCCTGTGACGACGTTGTGCCCTCTTGTTTCCTTGGTAGAGTTTTCGGTCATGAAGAGGAAGAGAGGCAGGCCGAAGGGGTCCACGAAGAAGCCAAGTGCCGAGGAGGAGCTGGCAGAGAGCGTCGCCAGTCCGCTCGAGGGCAGCCCGCCGGCCCCGGAAGAGGGGAGCAGCCCGGCTCCGGGCAGCTTGGAGTGCGGCCAGTGCCGTCGAAAGTTCTCCAACCCTCGCCAGCTGAGGAAGCACGTCTGCATCATCGTGCTGAACTGGGGTGAGGAGGATGGGGAAGCAGGTACGGTGCCCGCGGGCCGGACACGCCGGTTCCTTGTGAAGACGTGTAACTGCTGGCATCCCTTTGTCCTGGGTCAGTTATTTCAAGGAGGATAGAGCGTTTTTATACACGTCTCACCTTTTTGGAAAAGGCCCCGTTTGTGAGCCAATCACTGTTACTGTCCATGATGTGTGAATTGAAGGTGTCATCTGTTAGGTGGTGCCCACGGAGTGCGAGTCCCAGGGGCACATCAGCGGGTGCCTTGGGCTGTGCAGAGAGGGTAAAGCACAGTGTCCCCTTGGTGAGCGTATGTCCTGGGGAGGACAGCAGGGTTGTGCATCCCAGGGTGTTAACAGGGGATGAACCATCGGAGGGGAGGCGGCCTTCTGATGGGGGGCTAGGAGGGAGCCTGGTGTCACGGTGTACGTGGCATTGGCATTAATGGGGGCAGTTGTGAGCAGAAGTGCAGGCAGTAGGATGCTCGGGGCCCCTGGGAGGGCCCTTGCTGAGCCAGTGGGGGTGGCGGCTAGGTTGTGGCAGCTTCTGGAAGGGAGCAAAGAACACTGGTGCTTCCCCCACATCTGTTCCTGGCTAGGCTTCAGCTCTCAAGGAACTTCTTTTAGGGGCGCCTGGGTGGCTTAGTCGGTTAAGCGTCCGACTTTCGCTTAGGTCATGATCTCGCGGTTCGTGGGTTCGAGCCCCGCGTCGGGCTCTGTGCTGACTGCCAGCTCAGAGCCTGGAGCCTGTTTCAGTCTGTGACTCCCTCTCTCTCTGACCCTCCCCTGCTCACGCTGTCTGTCTCTCTCTCTCTCTCTCCCTCCTAGAAATAAAAATAAAACATTAAAAAAAAAAATTAAAAAAAATATATATATATTTGTTTAGTTTTGAGAGAGAGAGAGAGAGAAAGAAGCGGGGGAGGGGCAAGAGAGAGAGGGAGACAGAGGTTCCGAAGCCCGACTTGGGGCTCGAACTCACACTGTGAGACCATGACCTGAGCTGAAGTAGGATGCTTAACCAACGGAGCCACCTAGGCATGCCTGAAGTAACTTCTAGAAGAGGCTGAAGGACGTCTGAAGGTGAGCGCGGACTGCTCTCCCTGCGGTGGGGCAGGTCTTCGGGGCAACCCACCAGGAGGAAGGAGCTAGCGGGACTGCGCTGGCGAGGAGGGCCTCTGCCGCTTGCCCTGCTGTTGTCTGGGTCTTGTCCGCATGTGAAGTCTTCAGACTTGGCCCAAGAATTTTGCTTCTTAGTGTGTTTTGTTCTGTGCTGAGCTTGTTACACGGGAGACAGTTTTGGTTAAAATGTAGGCTTTGGACTATGGCAGCCAGGGTTTGAACCCCAGCTCCTCCAGGCCATACTGCCTTCCTTCTGCCTCAGTTTCCTTATCTGTAAAATGGGAATAGGACACAGCACCCTCTCATATGGTTGCTTTGAGGATTGAATAAGGCGGGACTTACAAAGTGCTTAGAACAGGACCTGCATTTGAAAAGTGCTCAACAAAATTAGCTATAACTGTTACTCATCGCAGTCGGAAGCAGTACTATCACTGTCTTCCTTCCTGTTTTATACATAAGGCTAGCTAGACGGGGCCATCAGGTTGTTTGTCCAGGTGCTTTAGTTAGCAAGGGAACCTAGTCTTGGAAGCTCAATTCTCAAGTGTCTTTACTAGAAACATCTCCCAGCACTGAAGCAAGACATATTGTGGGCATAACTGAGTAACTCATCACCTGATACTTACCAGCCATCTAGGTTGATGGCCAAGGCTCCTTGCCAACATCTGCACAAACTATAGGAAATATAAAATGTTCTTTCCTTCAAAGAATGGCTCTCAAGGTGACTACGTGAACCTCTCTAGGCTGCACAGGCTAATGCAAATAACGGACCAGCGATCAACAGGATAGGGCCCCGGGAAGACGGCTGTCCGCCGCGGAGCCCACGTCTCGCTGTGGGGGACATGTAGGCAGGAAGCGCTGGGGCCTCAGAGCCTGATGCCCTGTCGGCAGATACAGATGCTTTTAGAAATGAGATGGTTGAGGGAGGAAGGATGAGGATCAACCTCCCTGTCCCTGAAGTGCTGATTTCTGGTGGATTTGTCAACCACTGGCCCTGGGTTATGGGGCTGTCCCCTCGCCCCAACCCTGTGTACAGCCCCCACTCTCTTTGTCTCACAAAGAGTGAATGGTTAATGGTGGTGGCATGTTTCTTTGTTCATTAAGTCTTTTAGTTTAGTCCCGGTATAGTTCACAGTGTTATGTTAGTTTCAGGTGTGCCGTGTAGCGAGTACACGTCCACACAGCACCCGGCACTCATCGCAAGTGCAGCCCTCGGTCCCGCCACCTGTTTCCCCAGCCCCACCCGCCTCCCCTCTGGCAGCCATCCGTGTGTCTTCTGGAGTTAAGAGTCTGTTTCTTGATTTGTTTCTCTTTTTCTCCTTTGCTTGTTTTGTTTCTTAAATTCCACATATGAGTGAAATCAGATGGTATTTATCTTTCTCTGACTGACTTATTTCACTTAGCATAACACCCTCTACCGCCATTCATGCTGTTGCAAATGGCAAGGTTTCATTCTCTTTTATGGTCGACTAATATTCCGTTGAGTATATATGTATGTGTGTCTGTACACACACACACACACACACACACACACACACACACACGCACACCACCTCTTCTTTATCCAGTCATCAATTGATAGGCGCTTGGGCAGTTTGCATAGTTTGGCTATTGTGGATACTGTCGCCATACACACAGGGTGCGTGCGTCCCTTTGGATTAGCGTCTTTGTATTGTTTGGGTAAACACCCAGCAGTGTGATTGCTGGATCACAGGGTAGTTCTGTTTCTGACTCTCTGAGGACCCTCCGTACTGTTTTCCAGAAGGGCCGCGCCAGTCTGCGTTCCCCGCGGCGCTTGCATCTTGACGACAGGGCCGTAGCCTTCAGAGCGGCCCTGTTTGCACCTGCCTGAGTCCCGGGAATCTGAGTCTCTCGGGCCATTCAGTGCTGTCTTTTTGAGGACCTGTTTTGCTTTTGTGCCTTTACATGATTTATCCCGCCAGCTTCCTCCTGAGAGACCGCTGGGCTTTCTGCACAATTAGGGCTGGAGTTTGGGGGTCTCCTTCATAAAACATGCCTGCTACTGCTTGCTGCAGATGTCAGACCTGGGTCTAACTTGGATGCAGCCCGAGGAGGTGAGTGAGATCTGTGCAGTGTCTGCGTTGCCCTCAGGGTTTTCTTCCCGAAACAAGGTTTGCAGTGTCTCCCCCTCAGAGTAAAATGCCAAGTCCTCTCCTGGGCATTGAAGGCCCTCAGCAAAAAGATCTTTCTGTGGAGCTCGACGGCATTATTTTTCTGTGTCGTGGTGATCTCTGCTGATCAAATTTAGGTCACTGCCAGTCTGCTGTTGTTGTAAATAATTGCTTTCATAAGTACTTCTATATACGTGTGTATATGTGTGTGTGTGTGTGTGTGGACTTATGTTGTTACTTTCATATGATGAATTCCTAGAAGTGTAACTGCTGGGTCAGGACTTATAGTACATGTTGCCAAACTCCCCCCTCAAAAGCTCACACCAATTCAGATTCCAAAAGTGTCTGACAGTACTTATTTTTTTTTTTTTTTAAATACTTGAAATGATGGAGAAAGTACTAACAGGAAAATAACAATAATCTGGAATTTCACTGCCCAGGTATATTGACTATTATACCCTATAAAGAAGAGAAGGGAGAGCCTTCTCTGTTCTGTGTACACATATATTTTTTAGAAACGGGGTCATGCATCGTGTTCTGTGATCTCTTTTTCACTCACTAATGTAGCTGATAAATTTTTAATGTCAATATTTTTTATTTAACAAGCTGTTTTCTAGCACGTTCTGGATACTCTGTATTTACAGCTGTTAGCTCCTATATTCTCATAGCAACTTTAATAGGCACTATTGTTACTCTCATTTTGTAGCAGAGGATACTGGGGCACAGAGACATTCAGGAGTTTGCATACAGGCAACACAGCCTGTATGTGGTTGGTCTGGATTCTTAAGCCACCGTGGTGTGGCGGCTCTGTATGCTTCCTGACCCAAAACAATCAGTAAATGCAGATTTTTTCATTTTTAAAGGACACCCAGCATTTCATCGTGTGCATGGGCCATACATTTTCCTTCATCCATTTTCCATTGATTGACTCTCAAGATTGTTTTTCATTTTTCTTCCTGATTAAAAAACAAAACAAAACAAAAAACAAACTCTACTCGGAGGACACCTGAGTCAGTTAAGCGTCCAGCTTTTTTTTTTTTTTAATGTTTATTTATTTATTTT